AACCTAACTGGACATCTTCAACTCTAATATTTGATTGATATCGATTGTGTACATTGGCCCAGGTAACAGCCGGGTACTCGATCAAGTTCTACTTCAACTGTCGTGAAGCCATCGAGCTTCGTTCGTTCAGTCCTTGAGTGAAAGCTTGAACAACCCAATCGTCTGTGATAGGTGATAGATCCATTCGCCCCATTTGTAAACGAGATACGAACTCTTTTAGCATCTCGTTATCTTTTTGCCTTACCTTGAAAAGATCTGACTTCCTGGCCCCGACCTTTGTGGCTCCGGCATGTGATTTTACGAAAGAATCTACAAGCATAGCAAAAGAATCGATAGAGTTAGGTGGTAAATTATGATACCATACCATTGCACCCTTTAATAAAGTTTCACCGAACTTCTTTAATAATACGAATTTGATCATATCATCTTATAGGTCGTTCCCTTTAATGGCACATGTGTAAGAGGTGACATGTTCGTTGGGGTCGGTTATTCCATTATATTTAGAAATTTTGGGCCTGTGAAACTTCTTGGGGATCGGTTTGGGAGCCACGCTTGGGGGGGAAAGGCTTTTGTACGAATTTTTTGGAATCCAAGCCCTTTAATAACGGTGGTGCTCCCGGGATCTGATCAACCCTGGAGTTGTAAGTTTTTACTTTTTTGTCGTTTGCTTCAATCCTCTTTTCTCCCAACTCAATTTGTTTTGTCAGTTCCTCGAGCATCCTAATAATTTCAGGATTAGTCCCCGATTCTTGTTCATCTGATCTTACTATAGCTTGCCCTATTTTATGGGTGACTTCTTGGGGTGGATCGGGATCATCCCTGCTTGGTGCCTGAGTTTGGCTCTGCAACTGAGCTATTGCTACCTGTTGAGCTTGCAACATTTCAAAAATCATACGCAGGCTGATCCCGACTTCTCTAACGTGTTAGGTATTTCGAACTGCAGATCGAGTTCTACCACGAATGTTATTTTCAGGGTCGGAACGTTGGTTCGCCTCGATAGCCGCGTGTGAATTAACGTCAATTGGATCTGCGACCCGAGTTCCAACGGGATCGACGAGTGGCCTTTCATCCCCGATCGTCAGATTGTTGTTCTCATCTTGAAGGCCAGCTTCGTTGTTAATAGGTAGGGCTATTAATCGAGAGTTCATCATTTTTAACCTGAAATTAAAGACACTTCCAAGAAGTGTAAAATAGTGTGTTTTGCAGAGATTAGTGCCAAATAACCACTATTATTCTTAGCCCCACGGTGGGCGCCAAACTGTTTACCCGAAAAACGGATGGAGTTGAATTTGTACGTAGTTCTAAGGATACGTGGTGTAAATTGGTACAAATTAGAAAGATAAGTAGAAATATACCGTATATTGACTGTGAAAAAGAATGAACACCAACCCAAATTAAGTAGAGAATGATTGATAAATGAACTAGATGAATCAATATCAAAAGCCCAAAAAGGACAATATTTGCTATATGTTATGTAAATCTCAATAATCTGTCAATGTGAGAATGTATGAAGGTTTCTTTCCATGCCCTTTTACAAATGACAGTCACTCTAATATAATGGAAAAATTTTACTTTGGATATAATTAAAAATATATAGTGGGGATCCCATGATAGAATAATTAATTAGTCTTTCCTTGATTTTCGCCGAGATTCTCTCCCCAAATGTGGCTATAACGGCTCTTTTGTCCCTTGGCTCGAGCCCAAACTCGGCCGCTCTCGACCGTGATCGGCCTCTATTCGCTCGACCTCTATCAGGGCTCGTTCTCGGTCTCGGCCGATTTTGGTCTCGATCGGTCTCTATTTGCTCGACCTCTATCTGGGCTCGATATCGATCTCGGCTGATCCCGACCTTGGTCGGTTTCTAGGGCTCGAACTCAGCAGCCCGACTTCACATCATAGCTCGATATCACCATGACGATCCTCGGTCTATCATGTTCCAATCTCGATTAGTCACACGAAAGGCAAACTTGGTTTTGACCGTATACAGCTACATCTGCATTTCATAGCTTTATTATCAGAGACAAAGCATTCTCTATCGAAAGATTTATATTTCTCAAACTCGAACTCTAGACATGTAGATAAGAATGGAGGAATTTTATCTTCTACAACTCACCTTCAATAATATTTATATAGAGATATGGATCCACAATTTAAATTTTATGGGTTTAGTCTTTAAGGTTTTTATCATTGAACATAGTGTATTTTTAAAAGTACACATAGTTGCGTGTTTGTTTTCTTACTCCTTTTGCTTCTTTTTTTTCTTTATTTCTCGTGAAAATAAATAAAGGTCGAGTCTACGGAATTGGAGTACATCCATTCTCCAGTCGTCCAACAGTATTATTCACTAGTGAATCGGTTTCCCAAGAAGACATGGAAGGTATCATCAAAGAATGGATCAAATGTCGCAAGAATGGGACGCAACTCACGTTTTGATTCAAAAATTATTAAAAAATAAAAGCAAGAAAGACAGTCAAGCAGCAATGGAGTCTGCGTCTCAGAAGGAGACTGAGTCTCACTAGGACTAGCTATTTAAATGTTTTAGAGTTGAAGTTAGAGACAAGTTTAATTTACGAATTTGAGTTATTATTTTGATAATTGGTCGATCAAAATTGGTGTTTGATCAGTTGGTTGGATTGTTATAAATATTAATGTTCGTTTTGTAGTAAATATTTAATTTGGATTATTATATTAGGTATTTGATTCTCTATTAGGTGTTTGGTTGGTTGTTTTATTTAGCGGTGGTGTAATTAAAAATACAGAAGAATTCTACTAAATTTTTTTCAAATTTGGGACTGATTTGCGACTGATTCGGTCGCAAATTGAGAATTTCTGAAAAAATTTAATTAATTTATACTCAATATCTACGACTGTTTCGATCGGAATATTTAATTAAAAAATAATTTTATTATTTAATTTTCCGACTGCATCAGTCAAAAAATTTAAGTGATTGCGATCGAATTGGTCGGTAAATTTTCGACCGATTCGATCGCAAATATTTTGCGGCCACGTGTTTTCCGACCGACCTTTTTCGATCGAAAATTCGTCGGAATAACACGATTTCCGACCGTTTTTCGACCGATGTGACGGTCGGAAATTAGCCATTTTCTAATAGTGATGTTCGTTATGTGTCGAAAATTATGGGTTCAGTTGGATACTATTTATGGAAACACATCACGTTTAACTTAATGGAATTTATGAACCATTTGTAAATGACAAGCTGCTGGACGGCGGTGTTCAACCTTCTTACGTTCCTACTATAATAATATCCACCATATGAGAATTGAAAACCACACATTTGCTTTGTCTCCTATATATCCATTAGTTTGACATGTAGACCCTTTTTCCGTAATTTTCTTGTTTGGGAGTTAACGGGAGATATTAGGGTATAGGGATTCAAGAAATGAGCTTTCTTTTGTTTTCCGTTAGGTATTCGACATTCATATTGGAGCTTCGAATAATTTGGATCCATGTCGCGTAAGGTTCATTAAAGAAGAAAATGCTCCCTATAGAATTTTTTTCATACTCAAGACTCGAACCCGAAATAGAAGCGGACCCAGGATTCGGCAGTCGCGGAGACACCATGACATTCAATATAAATTTATCACTACTCATAAAGATTGGTATGGGTTTCTATATACTAATATCTGAGTATTTCTTGAAGATATTTACAAGTACACATGGAGTTTTTGTCGAAATTTCCGAGTGTCGGTGAGTCCTCTCCCTATTGTATGCTTCTGCCTCTGACCCGAAACCTTTGGTTGAGAATATATGAGCAGCTCAACATTTAGGTAATTCTTTAGCATTTAGCTCAAGAAGTACTGTGAACATTATTCTCCTGGCCACTTAATTAAAACTCGTAAAAAAAAATACATGATTGTAATACATATTACTAATTAGATGATTTTCTTGACATATACATCAAATTGTTCTTGAGTTTGGGCCACTATCCAGCCCTAGTATACTCGGTCCGTCTTCTTCGCACTAACTTGGGCTATAAGGCCCAACTAATACATTGTCCGAAAATAATCCAAAAACCAAAATAAAATCCAAAATATTACAAAAATATGATATTCTTCGGATGGTCTTTAACTTTAACCTTCGCTTGTCCCATAGACAGAACTTCAATGTTAAAAATTAGAAGTGTTACCCCTGAATCATCAGGATAGGCTGCCTACATCATACATCTTGGGGTGCGACTCTTTTCCGAACTTTGCGTGACCACGAAATATTTTATACACTAAATTATCTTTTTTACGAGGCAAACAAAGCACAACACTTGTTAAATTTGAGTGCTATTCAAAACCATCCAATTTGAGGGCTATTTGTATACTTCACTTAATAAAATCAATAGCTTTTGAAACTAGTCCTCAAAAGTGCAATGAAACAAATATAATCATTTCAATGACCAACTTAGCTAAGCTGATAGAAAACATAATAAGTGCACTGCCAATTAATTTTTTGGCCACCTCTATAAGAAAATATTAATGTTATTTAATAATTTCTCTCAATAAAATGACCATTACAAAAAGTAACACCAAATACACCAAAAATTCATGCATGTTTCTCTTTCTCATGACATCAACGATTATAGAACTATTATAAAATGAAAAACAAATGCTTTGATTTTCTTTTCACAAAATTTCTGGTTAAAAAAAGTAAGTTTAATAAGAAAATTTTCCATTAAAGTGAAAAATGGGGCCTCCTTTGAATGTATTTTTTGAATTAATGTTTTGAAAACTTAAATAGATAGGGCCAATCACAACCACTAACAAAAACAACCTTTCCCCCACATATATTGATATGTTTCAATTTTGGAATTTGATCATTACTTCTTTCATTTTCATTTACACTTCAAGCCACTCTTCTTGTCCCCCAAAAATCATAATTAATTCACTAAACCCCAGTTTGGTTTAGTTTCCCAAGCCACTCTTCAATTATATTTCTAGTCTAGGTGTATATATAAAAACTCTCATAGTAAGAAGTTTTGTTCTACGAGTTTGTGTACTCTATAGGCTTTTCCAATGGCTAGAGTTTACCCTCAAACATCAACTTCTTCTTCTTTTTCTTCAACAAATTCATACATGACTATGAGAAAAGAAACATTCACTTTATGGATGAAATCTTTGGTCTACCATGGAAATGGCTGCACTGTTTTCGACTCAAAAGGCCATATTATTTATAGGATTGACAATTACAACAGAAAATGTAGCAAAGAAGTCTATCTCATGGATTTACAAGGCAAAGTTCTCTTCTCCATACGACAAAAGGTAAAAGAAGAAAAATCAACATCCTATTTCATCTAACATGAGTATTGGAGTCACTGGTGGATCCAAAATTTAGATGATGTTGGTTCAAAAATACATATTTAACTCTATCTATATTTGTTTTGGCACATATATGTATTTGATATGTGATCGATAGGTCACGGGTTCGAGCAGCGGATTTAGGGGGCAGAAGAGGTTTCACCCGAACCTCTTTCGCCGGAAAATTGCATTGTACATATAAGAAAAAATTCTGATTTATGCTTCTATATATAATATTTTGAATCCCTTTGACACAACTCAAAAGTATGGCTGAGTGGTCAAGGGGGTTCAAACCCCTTTGAGGTCGGTGATTCAATTCCCAACGGCCATAGTCTCTTTTAATTTCTTAACTTTTTCTTTTTTGTACCCCTTAACGAAATCATGCATCTGCCACTGGTTCGAACTGTGAAATCACCTATTGGCGCATGTGTTAGGGTAGACGACATAAGTCACACCCTTCCCATGCGGTTCTTCCTGGACCCTGCGTAAACACGGAATACTTCGTGTACTGGAGTGCCTTTTTATATATAGGGTCTGATGCAAAAGCAATATTAATGATTCTAACTCGCGAACATTATTGGATCCGCCCCTGCATGCAAAATCTTGACATTATTAAGCTAGTAATTTATAATCTGTGTTTATACTTAAGTTTTCTATTGTTTTTTTGCAGAAACTTCAAGTTTTTGGACATTGGAATGGCTATAAATGGAGCAATGATAATTTGATTGAGATACCTTGGTTCCAAGTAAAGAGAAATGGTTATTTCCTATGGGGAGATTACTTAAACTATGATGTTACTTTATTAGGATTTGATGAAGCTGAAACAAACTGCTATAAGATTGTAGGTTTACAAGGCAAATCAGAATTCAAGATTGTCAGCAGAGAAAACAAACTTATTGCCGAGGTTTGTCACTATCTCGTTGTTTTACAAGAGTTTAAGTTCTATATACTGATTCAGTAAAAAATATTTACACATGCATTTAGATAACTTACAAGATATTAATTAACTAAAGATAAATTTGTATGATAAGTATTATTAAGTAGTACAATGATAAAAATATTAACTAACATACTATCATGGGTAAAACTACACTATAATAACAACAATATTATTATCATTTTGGATTCTCATTTTTCATAAACTTATCTAAAACCAATATTATGTAAAATTAAAAATAAAATAAAAAAGTATATAGTAGAAGTTTATGAATCTCTGGTAGAATATGTTAAACTGAATCTCTGGTAGAATATGTTAAACTGAACTGATAATGTAAAAACTACCTTATATTGTCAATATTTTTTAATTAGTGAGGTGTTGGTATCATAGTGGTTTTCTTCTTGTCAAAGCAGTATATATGCTTCAAAATTTCCTGATTATTAAATAATACTCCATTATAGCTATGGATTTTTCGTTTAATTGGAATTGATTTTAACAAAATCAGTAATTGGGTTTATGCAGGTAAAACAAAAACAATCATCTTGTGGAGTTCAATTTGGAGATGATGTGTTAAGTTTGGTGGTAGAACCTAATGTTGATCATTCATTAGTAATGGCTCTTGTGACTGTTTATGGCTTGATACAACAAAGACTATGAGTGTTCCTTTTTATTTTCATTTTCAGTTTTTTATTTTTATACGAAAATTGCCACGCAACGGGATTTTAAATTAGTCGAGTTAGTGAGTTTCAGATATCGACAGAAATAAGATAGAAATTTTTTGGCAAGTTTTCATAGGCTAGAAGAGCACTTTGTACCTCAAAATGTTTTGTTTCAGAGTGATAGTTGAGATAGTTTAAAGTGTACAAATATACCCAAAAACATAGATAGTTTAAAGTGCACAAATGTATTATCGAGCTAATGTACAATCGAGTAATATCATTTCAAGAAATTATCATACATATATTTACTTTGTCATCCTGAGCCGAGAGTCTATCGAAAACAGCATTTCTACCTTAACAAGGTAGGGGTAACGATACGTATACATTACCTTCCCCAAACTCCACTTGTAGAATTACGCTGAGCTTATTGTTGTTGTATATTTACTCTGTCAACATTTGTGTCGAATGCTTAAGCGGATTTTTATTTAATTGATTCTTCTCAATTAGATTTTTTTTAATAAAAACTTTTTTAATGAGGTATTAAATTCTGGATTGAATCCGAAAGAAATGTTTATATTAGAGAATTCAGCTTATTCTTAATAGCACGACACCATAACTGAATGGTGGATTTCAATGATGATTGGCAAAGTATAGTTCTTTTTCATTTGAAAGGAAAATGTGTAACCCAAATTTTGAGTTTGAAATATATATATAACACAAACAAGTATCTAACCATATTTAGAAAGAATTGTTTTTAAAAAAAAGACAGTTCAGAGTACAAAGTATCTCGCATTCATGCAGGGTTCGGGAAAAGCTCGACCCCTAGAGATGTGACATAGATAACCTATCTTAATGCAAGTAGTGGCTACTTTTATGGTTCGAACCCGTAACCTATATTTGATTCTAAAAAATAATGAGTGCGACAATCTCTGTACTATTTTAAATCTAAAGAAAGTATTCTCCTTTTCAAACGTTAATTCAAGGGCTTATGCTTGTAACATCTTATGTGTATTTACTTTTTGTCCAAGTACCTACATTTAATGTTATGGTAGTTGGGATGTAAACTCACATTTCTACTTGATTAGATTGTCTCAGTTGAAGTCACAATTCATGCATTTCATAATAGTGATGATACCATAGTTAGCTCAATAATAATTCAGGCATGGCTAAAGAATATCGGTTGATATAGAATTATGTTGGCAGGGGCGTACACGAGAATTTTATAAGCGGTGTCAAAATTTATAAAAGAACGGGAATAATAACTTTAATTATCATACTTCGAAACAAGAAATAACTTTAGTCTATGGATTTTGTTGGTTCTTAAGTTAGAAAAATTCGTGAATTAAATTTTACTTCAATCACAATTTTTAACCGCATAGATTCTCTCAAATATGTTCAAAAAAGATGTGTTAGTTGAGGTTCGAACGATGACCTCTTAGAGCAAAATCAAGCAAATAACCAAGTCAAGAGCAATTTATGTCAAGAGGTGTTATTTTTTCCTAATTATCCGCTTCCTCACAGTATTAATACATATATTTAGTAAAAAAATTCGACGAAGTGGTGTCGCATTACACTGCTTCGATAAATGTGCATCCGCCCCTGATTGTTGGTTCTTTTTATAGGGATTCAATGCTAAAGATGAGAAAATTAAAGACCAAAAAGGACAGTTCGTGCACAAAGCATCTCGCGTTCATGCAGGGTTTGGAAAAGGGTCGCACCTTAAAGGAATGTGATGTAAATAGCCGACTCGAACCCATAACCTATAGATCATACGAAAAAGTTAAAGACCAAAACTATAAAATAATAAAGTAATAGAAAGAAGAAGAAAAAAACAACTTGATTAGAAGTTCTTTTGATAGAGTAGGTTTAATTTTGGAAGTGAAGGGAGCCATTCATTTACATGAACAAAACCACGTGTATTAGCTGTCTGTATTATCAGCTTGATATCAAACACGTAACATGATGAAAATATATTATAGATGTGTTATTTGTTTTCATTTAGGTTTTGAAGGTGGCGGGACACATAAACGAATTGCTCAACTAATGCTTCATTAGACTTTTGATCTTAAGAGTTCAAGTAAAATATATAACCATTTCCAACATATATGAATATATATATATATATATCTAGAATGTTTGCCGAAATTTACGGGTCGGTGATTTCTCTTCCCTTTACATAGGTCCGCCTCTGCTTGTTGTCTAAGATATCTCTTGTCAGCAATAAAATATTAGATTATATTGATTACAGTGATGTTCGGATCAGCATTCCCTCACTTCACCTATTCCATTAGTATTTGTTAAGATTATATTGATTACAGTGATGTTCGGATCAGCATTTCCTCACTTCACCTATTCCATTAGTATTTGTTATTTTTCATCAGTATATATAACGAGTAATTTTGCCAACCAAAACATTTAAAAGATAGAAAAAGGTTACCTAATATTTTTTGTTAATGCTGAATCTGATGTTGGATTTTATTTTGTTTATTTAAGAGTACATTAATCTTTTTCAACTCGATGGATGTCTTTTTTATAGTCGTCAGCTATTTCCTGAGATACAGTTAGTTGCTTCAAATGCTTCATTATGTTGTTAAATTTACTCTTTTTGGATTGACAGAACTAGGTGTCTCAAAATCATATAATACCCCCCTTACTCCAGTGACATAATAAATCTTATTTTTCTAACTAAACATTAAGGTCCAAATTACTAATTGTCTCTGTTTATGCTATTGGAGTTCAGCTTTGGAATCATGAGTTTTAAGAAGCAAATAATTAAATAGAGTTTAACTTTCCTATATTGAGAGTGTCCGAACAATTAAATAGAGTTTAACTTTCCTATATTGAGAGTGTCCGAACAATTAAATAGAGTTTAACTTTCCTATATTGAGAGTGTCCGAACAATAAGCGACAACAACCTACTATAACAAGTTAAATTACACCCAACTTCCATACACTGACAGTATCTGTATCTGAACTAAAAGAGACAACAACCTGCTATAACAAGTTAAATTATACTGACAATGTAAATTCCTAATGATGTTATTTGGAGGGGGGTGGGGGTTGGAGGAGATGGTTTCCACACTATTTGAACATTTAACCACTATAAGATTTTTTTTTTCCTACCTGAAAAAAATCTGTCCATTAAATAGATAATGAAAGAATCTGTTCACAAACATAAAATACTCACAAAAACAACTTGAAATGCTCTTACACAGCTTCTTATTTGGCTAGGAATATAACCTATATGCTTATACTACTCATAATTTTGTACCTTATCTAATGGGGGCTAAGTCTATGCAAGAAACAAAATTGAAAGAATATGCAAAAAAGAAAAAGGAACTTCCCTCACTAATTTACATTTATTTTTGTTACCTATACTTGTATCTGGTTTGCATGGATTGTTTATGAGCTCTTTTTCGCGCTCTTAATGTTGCGCATTCTCATTACAAGCTTCTGTCTTTCTCCTTCTACCTCTGCAAATTTTAGGCTTATTTCTGAATATCTCCCTTGCATTTCCTTCAGTTCAACTTCCATTAACTTGTTCCTCTCCCTCAGTAGTTCCATTTCTTTTGATAGTACTTCAAGATTTCCGGTATTAGATGCTGCGTTTTCCATTTCCTTGTCCGATGAACAGATGTTGCTGCTGCATTTCATTATATGGTCATTGTCAATTAGAAACACCGAAGAGAAGACAATTATTGTGAAGAGACATCAACATTAATTAGTCTTGGACTCAGTTTATTTGGGAAAATGTATGTATAGCCAAAACTGGACCGCCCCTCAAATTGGGTTAAGTTATACATGTTCAAGTTGACTCGATAGTGATTTTCATCTTTGTCAAAAGTAAAGGATCAATCTTGAACGCGGGATTCATACCTCTCTGTAGACGATGTTTGACACGTATTTTCATCTTCTGTGCATGTTGTAATCGCAAGATTTAGATCTTCCGTAACCACCTGTACCAAAGTATCATCTTTCAGATACTCTTAAATAATACTCCTTCCTTTCATTTATATGACGGTATTTGACTAGGCAGAGTTTAAGAAAGAAACAACGACTTTTAGCACATACAAAGAGTACCCTTAAAAGGTTACAAGAGAATGTCATTAACGTGTACTGGAAAAGTTAAATGTTAAAGAATTTTTAAAAATATAGAAATGTGTCATTCTTTTCAAACATATTAAAAAGAAAAGAACTCCATATAAAGTGGAACAAAAAGAGTAAGAGCCAAACAACCTTAAAATCACAATATCGGCGATTTACACCAGAACGCTACTTTGCTAACTAACTTCAATCATGACTAGTTCAATGCTGATAACTATATGTCTGCTCCTCACCCAATTAAGTCTTCAAATAGGGCAGACTGTATTATGTCTAATATTAAAAGAATAGAATTAAGAAGTTTTCGTGCCAACTCTAATTTAGAAGATAAGTTTTTTGCTACTAACCTTTTGGGACTTTTGTTCGCCGAGTCTTTCCGTGCTATGTCGGAGTTCTTCTAATCTTCTTTCTAACTCTTCGATTTTGTCTTGAAGATCTTTCTCCTTCTCCGTAAACGAATTCGATAAGCTATCAAGTGCATTTTCCTTCAGCTTGATCTGACCCTGTGATGATGGAACAAAAACTAAGACTGATCACACTCCTACGATTTACAACTACATTTAGGCAGATCAAATAAAGATGAATATTACCTCAAGTAACTTTATTATCTCTTTTAGACTTGCAAATCGATCATTTGCATCTTCGAGCTTTTCGTCCAAACTATTCAATGCATTCTCTTTCTCTATCAGATCATCTTTTAACTGGGATACCTGCTTTCTCAAAATTTCTTTCTCCAATTCATCCTCAAACAAAGAGCTCTTCATTTCTTTGCATTCAGATATAAGGATATCTACTTCCAAGTGCAGTTCCGCAATTAATGTGTCCTTCTCATCAATAAGCGACCTCGTACTGTTTAGTTCCTTCACGGTATCCATAGCTTCTCTTTCCACTAAAGCTAGCCTAGTTTCCAGTTCTCTTCTTTCACTGTGACCTTGTTCTATAACCAATTGCATGTCCTCAATCGATTTCCTCGTCTTTTCCAACTCATTCGCCAGAGTGTTCTTATGTTCTTCATGCTGAGAAAGGATAATATTTTCTGTCAATAGATTTTCAATCTCCTCTTTAAGAGAGATGATTTTCTGTGACAGGTGCTGCTCAGTTTCTTCAGCCAGAACTTCTTGTTTTCCTAGGAGCACGGATTTTTCTTCAATTTCTGACTGCAACTTTTCCATTTGATCTGACATAT